AAGAGGAAAGGCGAGGGGAGAGAGAAAGGAGGTGGGAAGGCAAGGAGGCCGGCCTGGCGGGGGCGGGACCCGAGTCGCAAACTGTTGCTTTGCTCTCCACCTCCCAGCGCCCCCTCTGAGATCCCCGGGAGCCAACGTGCTGGGAGAGACAGAGGGTCCTGAGGAAGCTTGGAGGCAGAGGAGACAACGAAGGGAAAGTGACCCAGCTAGACGCTCCAGTGAGGGACAGGAACTGAAGGGACGCCCCACGTCAGCCCCGGTCGGGCTCTGGAGACAGCCAACGCCTCTTGCAGCGCGGCGGTTTCGAAGCCGCCGCCCCGGAGCTACCCTTTCCTCTTCAGTGAAGTTTTTAAAGCTGCTAGAGACTTGGAAGAATCGAGGAAAGTACAGGGTAGGGCTGACGTTTGCCTTTATCTTCCTCCCCTCCACCCCATCGCCCCCTCCCGGGTCTCCTCTCTTGCTGCTGCCTCTGCCCGCCTCCCTCGGCCCGCTCCCCAACTTTGGTCGGCCCAGCGTGGCCAGCCCGAGTTTGCAGAGAGGTAACTCCCTTTGGCTGGGAGCAGAAGAGCTAGCTCTGCGTTGCAAATAGGGCTCTGCGGAGCCAGGCGATCTCGGAGACTCTTCAGCACTGCAGCCAGGACCTGGCTGGTTAGGCTGCACGAGGGGTGAGCTCCCAGGTTCCCCTACCTTCCTCCTCACCTCCCCCTGCACGCCCTCCCTTCCTCCTCCCCCAGCCAGTTTTCGGGACCAAAGATCAAACGATGAAAAGGCAATCAGGTCTTCTGTAGCCCACAATAAAAACAAACAAAAAAGCACTCAAACCTGAACAAAACCACAGGAAAAAGACAACAACAAAAAATCAACCTGGTTCCTATTTGCACCTGCTTCAGTGGACACTGAATCTGGAAGACTGAGAGTTTTCTTTTCTTCTTTTCTTTTCTTTTCTTTTCTTTCCTTTTTTTTTTCTTTTTTCGTTTCTTTTCTCTTCTTTTCTTTTATCTTATTTCTTTCTTTCTTTTTTTTTTTTTTTTTTT